TCTCAGATTATTTATATCCTAAATAATCTCAGATTTTTATATCCTAAATAATCTCAGATTATTTATATCCTAAATAATCTCAGATTATTATATCCTAAAAGGATATTGCCAGGGACATTATAGATGAATGAAGAAGCCCATATATTGCTATATTATATCATAACGGTAGCCCATATTTTCCCAGGAAGCTAGGCAGTTATGTGACCAAGGCTGACATCTCGCTTTTTTTTTCTTGGCAGTTTTCCAGAGAATCTCCTGGGTGGAGCAGAAAATGGCAACCCCCTTAAAGAGGCCCTGCAATCCGAGGGTAAGGAGGAAGGTTGAAGGAGGGAAAAAGGAAGAGACTCTTGGGATTGTCATTTCAGAAAAGATTTACAGCAGGGCTAGCCAACCTTGGCCACTTTTGCTGGACTTCAACTCCCAGAATTCCCCAGCCAGCTAAGCTGGCGGGGGAATTCTGGGAGCTGAAGTCCTCAAGTCTTAAAATTAACCAAGGCTGGACATCCCCTGATTTACACTTTTGAGATTTAGATTCAGATCTGAGCTAGATTTCCGAATCGATTCCAGAAAAAGCTATTTTTGAGGTGGCCTCAGGGAGCGTCTTTGAAGTCGTCGGGACCTATTTTGTAAACACCCGGTTTAAGAATTCAGTTTTTCAGTTTGATCTGCAGCTTCTGCAACATCCTCTTAGAACCAAGCCTCTCAATATTTGACAGGCAAGATTGTAGAGACGTTTATGCAGGTTTTACTGCCCTCTGGAGTTTTGGGTGGGGGAGAGAGAGAAGAGAGGGGATCTGATTGTGTTTCGTTTTTGCTACCCAACTCAGACCAAGAAAAAGATGGACTGCTGGAAGTTACAGAGTTTGAGGAACGGAACGCTGTTGGTGGAGCGAAGATGGACAAGGCGGTGGAGACCTTCATGGCTGACCTACAGGCGTTCTGCAGATCTCAACCTCCTGGCCAGGCCTCTATAGCCTCTGCTGCACAGGACCGAGGTACTTGATAAAACACCTTTCCCCTTCTTCTCTGTTGAGCAAGTCTGTTGCCCCGCAGAGGATGTGAAGGGGAACAACCTTGTCTCTTCCCAGTTTTGGCCCTGAAGAGGTTATTACAGATACCAGACGAAGGAGAGGCCCTCTTTCCTGCAGAACCTACGGATCTCTCTCCAGAGAATGGGGACCCCCAAGAGGGAGGAGAGGAATGGAATGGGACTTTTAGGATTGAAGGAGACAACAGCAGAAGGCTTCCAGGTGAGTCCTTGACTTCCAGGCCATCCTTGACCTATCACCACAATGAAGCCCAATGTTTCCATTGCTAGTCAAGACAGTTGTTAAGTGAGTTTGGGCCCCTTTGGGGATTTTTCTTGCCACCGTTGTTCAGTGTCAAGAGGGCTAGCTGTCAAGGCGATAATTTAAGAGCTGACCAGCCGATGCAATGAGGGGAATGAGTCAGCAGGGTCTTTGGCTGTTTATCCCTTTGTAATAAGAGGAGGCCCTGCTGGCATGTTCGTTGGTTCGGCACGTTTCTTCCTTGCTGTAATTGCTGTTTGTTTAGATACTGCTTGTAGCATGTGTATGTATATAGCATTCCTATATTCCTCTTGTAGATAAAAACCACTATTTGATTACAAACCACTGTTGGCTGTACTTGCTCCTG